CTTTGCTGCGTAATGAAGCGCTGTGAGGTGGGTTGATGTTGCTCTCACATCTACATCAACACCAAGTTCAGAGACCAAGAATCGGATGGCTTCATCCTGCCCTGTGACTGCTGCCCTGTGCAGGGCCTGGGCGCCCAGCCTGTCCTCGGCTGAAAGGCAAACCTGATGGACAGAAGAGAGAGGAACACAGAAGCTGAGAAGCAGAGAAACCCGGGTCTCGGCACCTACTGACATTTTGGCAAAACTCGGAGGTAGCTTTTGCCTGATTCTCAGAGGACTCTCTAACCAAAAAAACGGCTAAGATTCAGTGCTCCAGGTTATAGTGCCAAAAGCAGTCAGCAGAGACAGTTTGTTGTTACTACTACCAAACGGCTACTGTTTATTGAATACTTACTTTGTTAACTGCTTTATGTGCATTATTTAATTCTGGTGGGAACCTTCTAAAATTAAATTTGTGTTTTACAGATTGGAACATGGATGCTTAAAGAGGTCACAGGGGGAGGTTGGCAGAAATGGGATCTGAACCCACAATCTAAATTACAATGTGTTCTGCTTATCCTATCATCTAAAATGTGCAGGAAGAGCCAAAAGAATCAAACGAAACCATTCATACCTTGTGTTTTTCCAGGAGCAGCCGGGCCACGTCGACGTGACCACACTGAATCGCGTCCATAAAGGGGGTAACGCCACAGTTATCTTTGCAGTCTGGATCATACTGGCACCTAGAGCCAAATCCCAAGTAAGAGAGCTGAGAAAATTCACCACCTCAAACCCAAAAGATAGGTGACATTTGATGACATGCAAGTAGACTGTATGCTGACAAATGACCCGGGATAGTCTGGAGTGCTCACAGAGCACAATGATCTTCCCCGGCAAACTCGCTCCTCCTTTAACTTTTTTCATCCCGTTTGATGGCACCTTCCTCTCACCAGCTTATCATGCCAGAAGCCTCGAAGTCAGCCTTGCCACCACCTTCCCCTTATTCTTCATACCCAGCTGATCCCCCATCTCTCAATTCTACAGCCAAAATATTTAAGCCATCTGTCTCCTCCTCTCCACTCCACTCCCACGCCTTCAGACCGAGGCAATTGGCAGTGGCTTCCCAACCTGCTCCTCACCTCAACTCCTGCCTTGCCGAGCCGTTCTCCACAGCGACCACCGTCCTCTTTCCACACTCCAAGTGGATAAAGCCTTAAAACTGCACCCTACCCTGCACAAAGGACAAAACCTCCAATATCAGCATGACCTCCAAGGGCCAGAATAACATGGCACCTCCGTCCCTCTCCAGGTCTCCTACCCGGGCTGGCCTTGCTCTTCCCTGGGCCCAGGCTGCTGAGCCCTTTCCTGCCTTCGCACTGTTGCGCCTCTGCTGGAGCAGCACTGCCCACTCTACCCTGGCTCACTCTCACTTGCACCGTAATTGGGACTTCACCAGAGGCTTTCCTCATCACCCCCATCTACACGAGGACCTTTGCTCTCATGGCATCTTGTACTTTTCGTCTGTAGTATTGCCACACTTTGTAATTATATGGTATTTACTCGTGGGATTATTCATCTATACTTGTCTCTCACACCAGCCTATAGGCTCCATTACAGAAAGGACTGTGTTTATCACCCAGAACCTAACACACAGGAAGTGCTCAAAAAACGTTTCTTGAATGAAGGAAAGAGTATTTATAAATCTGCAGGCAACCAAGCACGTTCCCATTTGTGGCAGGCAAGCCCTACACATAGCAACACTTTCAGGCCACAGTGTTAAGTGTTCCCTTCTGGCACGCCGTCTCCTCAGGCAACCTTGTCTGCTCTTCTGGCTTCAATCACCATCTCTACGGTGATGGTCACATGCTTGTCCCTCGGCCCCCCTGTGTCTACCTGGCTGCTTACTGCCTTTGCTTGGATATCCCACAGGCACGTGAAACTGTGTCCAAAAGTGAAATGATCGTCTTCTCCCCGGTAACCTGCTCCTCCACTGTTAGATACCTCAGTGAGCGGCACCAGCCCCATTACCTCGGTGCTAGACACCTGAAAGACACCCTGACTTCTCCTTCTCCCCCAGCCCCTTTATCGCCTAGGTGAGGCTTAGTCACCTGGCCCTGTGGACTCTGCTCCTTAAACTTCTTCAGTCTGTCTCTTCCTCCCTGCAGTCATTTCCCTAGTTCAGCCACCATTATCTCTCCTGTTTCATGCAGCACCCTTCAGCCTTCTGCCAAGCCATTCTCTGCTTTGCAACTACAGGATTGAGCATCTCTGAAAACTGCAAATTTCTTACGATCCCTCTGTTTAAAACCTTTCCATGGCTTCTTTTCCCCAGCCCCAACTGCTTTTGTTTTTTAGAGATAGGGTCTTGCTATGTTGCCTGGGTTGGCCTGGAACTCCTGGGCTCAAGTGATCCTTCTGCCTTGGTCTGCCAGGTAGCCGGGACTATAGGCACATGCCACTGTGTCTGGCTTTCACAACTTCTTAAATGCTTAAAATAAAATCTGAAATCCTTGACATGGTTGACAGTGTCTGTCCTCCCTTGCACTGTTCAGGCTTCAGCACGTTCTGGACTTTTTTCCATGTCTCGACATGTACTATGCTTTTTCCTGGCTCAGAACATCCACAGACACTGTTACCTCTGTCTGGAATGCTCCCTTGCCTTTCACTCTCTGCTAATTTCTATCCTTTCTTCAGGTCACAGCTGAAAGATGGCTGGCGCTGAGATTCTTTACTCCTAGGCCAAGTTGGGTCTTCCTGTTACGTACTCTGTAGGGATCCTGCAACTCCTGTAATGCTCATCAGACTAACAGGGCTTGTTCACAACCTGTCTTCCCTGCCAGTCTGTGAGTTCCAAGAGGGCAGCAACCACGTCTGTCTTTGTTTCTGTTGTAGCCCCTGCATATGGGGCAGGGCTTAGTTTATGTGAGACACTGAATGAACATATAAATATTTGTTGAATAAATAGAGAAATGGATAATTTTGCCATTAAAGGCATGTTTTTTCCCATGCATTTGGTTAGCTATTTTTTTGTTATATATTTATACATATTTTTAAAAGACAGGGTCTCGCTCTATGCCCAGGCTGGAGTGCAGTGGCACAATCATAGCTCATTGCAACCTTGAATCCCTGAGCTCAAGTAATCCTCCTTCCTCGGCCTCCCAAGTAGGTAGGACTACAGGCAGGTGCCACCATGCCCGGCTAAATTTTTCATTTTTTTTAGAGACGGGGGTCTCGTTACATTGCCCAGGCT